GGTACACTGGACTGTTAAGCTATACATCTGTTATATTGCTAGCGCGCCTCTACCTACCGGCAGCAGATTCTTTTAGATACTGATACAAGTTTGATCCTTACTTTGGAGCCTAAATATATAACCCAGTGGCGATCCCTGGTACGTTTTGAATATTTGGTTAAGAGGTGACTTTTAACAAAACGAACTATTGAAATGGGATAGAAAAAGTCGTGGTATACTGTATTACCTAATTATTTGACACTGCAACTTTTTTTGTTCAGATCATCTTGGAAAAAATAAAAATTGGAATCAGTTCTGAAATTGGCCATTTCGCATAATTTAGGTCCCAAAAAAAAAGAGAAAAAAGAAACAAAAATCTCCCATTGATCGCATTATTTATCGAAGTTGAATATAAATTAGTGTAATTTGAATAAACATGCACAAAGCGACCAAAACTTAAAAGAAGTATTTGAGCAAAAAGGTGACAAGAAACTTTTCCTTTCTTGCTTCCTCTTCCCCCTTCAATTAGGCAGTTTTTTACTTGCTAAAAAGGTTCAACTCAATCATGGAAACCTAATATGTTCATATATTATTTGTATTAAAGTTAAGTTATATATATATATATATATATATATATTTGAGGAAAGAAAGTTGTTAAGTTGGTATAACCACTTTGCCATGCAGAATCCTAATTGGTGACTTTACTAAATTAATTTGAGAAGCTACAAGCCACTACTATTGCTGGACGGCATATCTTTCTTATCGCAATCTACTTAATTTATTATCCTTCTGCATGGATCTTCCAGAAGAACAAGAAAACAAGAAACCAAAAAAGATTCTTCTTTTGTTTATTTGGTAGTTTGCTTACTCATGATTCCAAGATACAAGCTTTATCCTCAAATTAGTTGACACATATGCTTCATGTATATACATGCATCATTTCTCCAAGCATACAGAACTCCCTATACGTTCGGAAATATATGTCTAATTTTCGTATTATTTTTAATTAATACAACAAAACTTACAATTATTTTGAGAAAATATTTCGTTCATATTTTATAACATTTTTGGGTTAAATGGCAGTAATGTTAAGGTCTCAGTAATTAAACCTGAAGTACTCCCTCCATTCCAAAATAAGTGTCGTTTTGACAAAATGAAAAAATTCCAAAATAAGTGTCGTTTTCAGATTCCAATGCATTTTTTGTAAAACATTTCCAAACATACCCTAAAAAGGAATAATATTATTGGTGAATATTTATTTTAATGGGGTTGGTTGAGGATATTCTAGTAATTTAGTTACTATATTTAATGTTTTCTTAAACTGTGTGCAAACTCTAGAATGACATTTATTTTGGAACGGAGGAATTACTATACAGTATATTTTCTAAACGTCTGCTTTTAATTAATACAACAAAAACTTTTAAGTGAAAGTAGCTCTGCTTGGAAGGTTTTTTTATGGTTTTTTCAAAATAATTAAATAATAAATGTCTCATCCCAGCATACCTTTTTATATTTCCAATACACCTTTTTATATTCTCAATATAAAAAATACCTAAAAACACACATTAAAAAAAACGATCCAAACATAGTAATCACCGGACCGGCTAATCTTTCCGACCGAATCACATAAATTGCTTGTAAGTAGCACAATATGTCATTTGGGCTTTTTTTCACCGACGAAATCTTTCAATGAGAAAAAGAAGAATGTGTTTTGATCTTTGAAAATGACTGCACGCATAAACAAAAGATGTATACAATGACAAGAATGGTAATTGAGGTGGAAAGAAATATAATGACAAGAATGGTAATTAACTGCTCCTTCTATCTTATTTTAATAATCCTTCTTACGACATTGTTTGATAAGTTCAATTATATGGACTATATAAAATGGGACAAAATTAAGTCTTTGTTTGTAAACTTTTTCCAATGGTATTTTCAGAATTTTTTTTTATATAAAAATTAATTAGCATACTTTTTTAAGTTCAATTAATTAGCATATTTTTCCAATGGCAGAGAGCTGTCGATAAATTAATTCTAAGTATACTCAATTATTTTTTCCCCTTTTCCTTCTCCTGGAAAACATAATATAAGCCGTGGTGCAATTGAGGGATGTGGAATGGGTAAAATTTTAAGAGCTATCTTCAACCTAATTGGACCGAAATGACAGAAAAGATGTGCATTACATAGGTAGTCATGTAGAAAATTATTGGTCATGTGTGAGAGAGAGAGAGAGATAACGAATTATGGCACCAAAGAAATGAAGACAAAATAACATGAATAAGAAACTTGAGAATTTATTAATATCATCCTTTATCCATGAAAAAAATAAATAATAATAAATGATAATAGAATGTTACCAAACAATATCTTTGTGAAAAATTATGTATATATCATTCCCAACATTACATGTGAACATTCCTCTTTGCCGGGTTTCCCTCTCAATTTGACCATATACATCTATCTCCAAATAAATATAAATAAAAAGAAGCAAATAATATACGTTTTATAAGAAGGAAGATGATTAAATGGAGTAAACATAATGCGTTTATTCGAATCGATAAAAAATTACTGTCCTAGTAAACCTAAACAAACAAATAATATGCGTTTTATAAGAAGGAAGATGATTAAATGGAGTAAACGTAATGCGTTTATTCAAGTCGATAAAAAATTACTGCCTTAGTAAACCTAAACAAGTTCTAAATATTATATATCTAACAAATGATCACAAGTATGTTAACATCTCGAAGGTAGGAATCCAACTTTTCGATCGACAGTAAATTTTTAGAGCAATTCTTTTTCTTCTTTTTTTTTTCTTCTTGAATTCCATCGCTAATTAATTTGATTTATTTTTTTCCTTGGAAAAGAAGTTAAGAAAATAAATAGTCGAACATGAGCTGTCACTTAGAAATGATTGGCATCGCTCGTTATATGTATTGCTTCTTAGTAACGGAACTCAGGATGAGAGAATATTTGCCTTGTCAGTAGCAATAAATTAACACGTCAACTTCCCCATTAATCCATTCCATCAAGTTCCCTATTTGTATCGGTTGTCCGGTGTATGTAATTTTTTTTTACAGAGGTAGTGGAAAGAGTAAAAAAATCATTAAAAAATCATAAGGGATAAAAATATAATTTTAATAAGAACATGATAACGAAATAAATAATCATAAATCATAATATTTCACATCAGTCACTCTTTATTTTTTACTATGCACATCAAAATGTAAAAGTTTGATAGAAGGAGTAGCAAATATACTATTTAAAAATTCCAGAAAGAACCTATTAACACTCAGAAAAAAACTAAACAAATGGACTCCGCTCATAATGAATTGTGTTTTTAGTTTTCAATATAAGTTACCAAAAAAAAAAAAAAAAAAGAATTCCAGAGGCTTCTTTATTAGTGGTGAGAAAATAATGGATTGATTAATAAACCTTCGTTGGAACATTTGCATAAGCAAATTGCATGGACTGATGAGCTTGACACGTGGACAGATTGTCTCTTATTATGATTGATATGATATTCAAATGCGATGGGGGTGATAGAAACAAGCTGCAAATTGCAAAGTCAAAGCTATTTTTTTATATTGTAGGAGTGCAAAAAGAAAAAGAAGCGTTTTTTTTTTTTTCCCTTATATTCTTGAGAATTTATTCGCTATTTATTTAGCTAAAATTATTTCCTTCGAGCCAGCAAAACCAAGCACAAAAAGTAGGGGTTTATGATTTTTTTTTTTTTTCATTCTCTATTACAAGCTTGATATTCACTCTTCTTAATTATATATAGTATGTCACTAATTTTCAATTGCAATAATTCGAAAATTGATGATTGCTTGCATTATTCTTGTATTAATAATTTACAAAATTTGGATGATGTGTAGTTCTTGACCATTATGTACTTTAACAACTTCGCAATTGATTAACTTAATTGTGTATAGTTACAAATAGAATAAGCGAAGAAACAAATCTCAGAATAAAGATTACGAGGAATCTATCAATTCTTACATCTTTATTGCATAAATGGGAAAGAAAAACTTAATAATAAAATCTAGCGAATATATATTGGAAACGGGATAAAAAGGAAAAAAAAATGCTTTCTTTGGCACAAAGTTTGATCAAGAAATCTTTCGTTCCAAGTCTTTGAACAAATAGAAATAATTTTTAGGTTTTTTTTTTTTTTTTTGTAATTTCCATTTCGGAAAATTTTATTATCCCAAAAATATTGTTTAAAGTAAATAAAAAGGTACGTAACACCATCTTATATATATTCCTAATCTTTTCTTGTGCAACAACAGATGGACCCTTCATTTGTTGACACAAAATTCCAATCACTTGTCACTTAAACAGTTTCTTTTTCTCCATAACTTGTTAAAGTTAAAAGCTCATTAGTCCCAACAAAGAAATGATTACAATAAATTTTGGTCCTCTCCATTTCATATATAGACAGTGTACCCAACTTTAGAGGATCAATGAGATTCTTTGCTTTATCTATAGTCTAATCTTTTCGTTTCATCTTGTCAATAAAAGTTCTGATTATTTGTAAAAATAATATGCTTACCACATACTCCTCGCGTTCCAAAATGATTGTCCAGTTTGAGATTTCACTTTTAGTACAATTTGAACTAAAAATGAAAATTCAGACTGGACAATAATTATGGGACGGAGAGGAGTTTTATTTTGAAATGAGAAGAGTGAAAATTGAAAGTAATCAAAACTATCTAATCATATCTAATAAAAATTTAAAATTAAAAATGTGAAATTTAAACGTACTAAGATTTTTGTTTTTTTTATAAAAAAAATTATGTTTATCAACTAATTAAAAACGGTTGGTAGTCACTTTGACTCTTGAGAGCCCTCATGTTACCGTTTGACTGCTGCCAGATTAATCAAATGGAGACTCCAACTAAAGCTAGCTCTAAACCCATCAACTTCTTCTTTCCAATAATTTTTCTAAATTAAACAACCGCCGTCCTTTCTTTCTCTCTGTCCATTTATAAAAGCAAAACTCTTCATCAACTCCATTTCAGAAAAAAAAAAAAAACCCTTTCAGAATCCACTGTTTTCTCTGTTCATATTGATTAAAAGGAAAAAAAAAAAAAGGTATGGAGAGAAAGAAGTTGCATATATTTCTGTGTATATTTCTCTTCTTCCATCATCATCATCATGCTGCTGCAAGACCTTCTTCATCTTCTTCTGTGAGCCCCATCGCCACTATTCCATTCAGCGCCGGCTTCTCCCCGCTTTTCGGCGACGCAAACATCAAAAGATCGCCGGACGACGCCTCCGTCCATCTTCATCTCAACCAACTCACAGGCATGCGACACATCTTTATTCTTCTTTCTTTGCAAAATTAGAAGTCGATTCTTTCGTCCCAGAAAAATAGTGGCATGCACATGTACATGATCAACCAGAATAAGTTATTGATTAGTTTTTTTCCTGATATAATATTAACAGGTTCTGGGTTCAAATCATCTGATCTCTACAACCATGGATTCTTCAGTGCCAAGATTAAACTTCCATCAGATTATACTGCTGGAATTGTAGTTGCGTTTTATGTACGTATCTTTGTTTTCTGTTTTTTTTTTCTTTTCCGTTAATCATCATACTATTCTCATCCTGTTTGAACTAAAACAGTATAACAAACCGGGTTTATTTTATTAGGTCGGAGGAAGTATATATACATAAATATACACACGATGATCATTAAATGATTTATCTTCATCTTTTCCCCTTTATTATTTATGGGTTATTATTGAAAACAATTCTTATTCTTTTTTTTTTTTGGTGGGGTGTAGACTACAAATGGAGATTTATTTGTGAAGAACCATGATGAATTAGATTTTGAGTTTCTGGGGAATATAAGAGGAAAACCATGGAAGTTTCAAACGAATATGTATGGAAATGGAAGCACAAGCAGGGGAAGAGAAGAAAGATATCGTCTTTGGTTTGACCCTTCCAAGGAATTCCATCGTTATAGCATCCTTTGGACCACCAATAAGATCATGTAAGAGCCTAACTCTATCACCTTTTCTCTAATCTTTCTTTACTAATTTTCTCAACCACTTCATATTGAATTTTATTCGTCTCTTTCAATTTCTATCCCTTTTATGAAATTGATCGATTACGGCTAATTTTAAAACTTGACTATTTCAATCCATTATTTTAATAGGGATGAAAGTTCAGTTTTCATACCTTTTATACGTGTTCTAGATAGATATTAGCCCTGCATAATTCCAAAGCCTTATATTTATGTGGTAATGGAAAGATAACAACAATCTAGATAATACTCCTTCTATATATCCCATAATACAATAAATTTGATTTTTTTTTTAATTTTTTATTCTGGATAGGAAGATTCAAATTAATGAAGCGAAAAAGTTCAAAAAAAAAAAAAAATCCAACTTCAAAGTTTTCAAACATTCTTGCTTCGTCGCATGTGTAAACTCATAATGCTCAGTAGCAATTTTCTTATTATATGCGCTTTGATTAGTGACTAAGCTTTATATTTCTCGGTCCATTATTTGGCACGCGTAGATAGAGACATACGTATGTGATAGTTCCCTTATGATAAAAGGCTAATGTAAACAAACAATCATCTCATATTCCCATTCATTTAATAAATTTGTAAGAGTTTACACTGTTATAATGCAACGGTCATTAATATACTTGTTGAGAGAGAATGTCTAACTTTCTGAATTTTACATATTTTTTAAGGTATAAGGAACGAGGCAAAAGCCTAAAAGAACTATATATATACACAAGTATACAATTTCTAAATTAACAAATTTAAGTAAAGAATTAATTTGAAATTTGAGTGGAATTATCTCCAAGCAAGCAAGTTAGTTTCACTTACAAAACTATGCACTAATCAGTCACATCCAATCAATTTCAAGTTCAGGTAGCCGCTTTTTTTAAAAAAATATTATCTCGAGCAACCTAATCCATATTGTTTATTACGTACTCCCTATGTCCCAAAATTATTGTCCAGTTTAAGATTTCACTTTTAGTACATTTGAACTAAAAATAAAAATACAAACTTGACAATAATTATGGGACGGAAGGAGTACTATTCTATGTTGATTTTGCTTTTCTTTTCTTTTCTTCCTTTTTTTTTTTTTTTGGCTTCTGAATTAATTCTCATCTCCAATTCACAAATTTCTTATTTACAGATTTTACATAGATAATGTACCAATTCGGGAAATCATGAGGCATGAATCAATGGGAGGAGACTATCCATCTAAGCCAATGGGGCTGTACGCCACCATATGGGATGCTTCCGATTGGGCAACCTCCGGCGGCAAATACAAAACCAACTACAAATACGCCCCTTTTGTAGCCGAATTCACCGACTTCGCGCTTCACGGCTGCGCCGTTGACCCTTTAGAGGAAGTGGTCAACGATCGATGTAACGAGAAAAATGATCAACTCGAAAACGCGAATTACGCTCGAATTTCTCCCAAACAGAGGACGGCCATGGCTAAATTCAGACAGAGATACATGTATTACTCGTATTGTTACGACAGTTTGAGATATCCAACTCCACCACCGGAGTGTGTGATTGATCCGGTCGAAAAACAAAGGTTTAAGGAAACCGGAAGGTTGAAGTTCGACGGGAAACAAAGGCGTCGTCATTATAAGGGAGGAAGAAGTCAAGATTTAGGTACTAATAAGAGGATTTATGAGAACCAGGATGATGAAGAAGAGTGAGATATTACAAACGCAGGCATTACACATTATTTGTAAGTGTGTTCATGAATTATAGTTGTATAAATTGATCTGAATTTTTGGGATTTTTTTTTGGGAGTTGGTATAGTACCATAAGATGCTATAGCTTGGATTGTTTTCATATTCTTGAGGTGATTATTGTTTACACATTGGAATGTTGTATCTGTATATATGTAATCAAATGTTGATCATTGGTCATAGCAATAAACAGAATGATAATTCACATAATAGTAATATATTTTTTAAATTTTGTACATTTATATTTTTGGGCACAAAATGTTATATATTGGTCATAGCTAGCTGGAAACTAATAGTAGCAATATTTTTTAAAATTGGGTACAAATGTTATATAGACTCGATTTGATAATATGTACTCATCAAATACGATCCATATAATAGCAAATGATGCTACTATGGAGCAACAAATCACAAACATTGACTTTTACTACCTCCATTTTTAGTATTTCTTTCGAGATTGGAAGACTTCAATTGATTTAATAAAAAATAACTTTTAATTGAATAATAATTTTAGAATCGAGAAAGTATCATTCATTCTTTTTATCTATTTCAATTTACACTATAAAAGCTAATAAAATAAAATAACTATTGTATCGTCATAAACCGACATGAATTATAATTAACCCCAAAATAATATATTATACCGTGCAATAATTCTTATACTGGTACAAATTTACATTATATATATACTATAACAACAACAACAACAATCCAGTATATTTCTAACTCGGTTAAAGTCTGGGGGTCAAGATGTACGCAGTCTTATCCCTGTATATCAATACAAAGTGACTGTTTAAGTAGTGCGACCCAAGATGCATTGGTGCATTAATGTATTGATTTTCGGAAACTTCACCAAATTAAGAAGCGCCGGAATTTAGATGAGCCATTTTAGGTACAATGATAAATAGTATAATAAGATAGTATAATTAAGGCTGCTGGTTAATCGGGTCAACCTAACCAACCGCCCGACCCGAAATGCATTCTGCTTAATCGGGGTGGCTAATCAGTTTAATTGGGGAAATTTCAGCTCTACCCGATTAACCGATTAGCTAACTCGGTTCGGGGTCGATTTTCAGAAAGGTTAATCGTGGTCGCCCGATAACCCGAATAATTTAATTTTTAATTATTTTTTTAATATATATATATATATATTAGACATATAACTAGGGTTGACTGGTTTTATTTTCCAATCCCCTTTTGACTTTTTATTTCTTCCTGGCATCCAGCTCTTCACTCCCTTTTTTTCCTCCTTCGGTGTGAGCTTCGCAGTTCGCCGCCGTTCCTCCACCGCTCCACATCCCACTTCCCTTCTCCATCGCTCCACATTACACTTTCTACCTCCACGGCTCCACCTCCCACCTCCGCAACCCTTCAATTCCACCACCAATACGGTTCTCCTCCAAAAAAAAGAGAGATGATTTTTACTTTCTAAATCTAAAATCTTTCATTGATTAATCAGGAGATCAGAAATCTGTAACAAAAAGTGAGAATCGAGCATGCGAAAATTGAAGAATGGTGACAAAAAAGCAAAGAAAGAGAAATGGTTACAGGGATGAATCCGAAATTAGAGGTAATTTTTTTTTTTTTTTGGTTTCTGAGCAAGGGATGTGGTCCCCCCTCCCCCAAAGCGGACGTTGTAATTCTTGCCATTAAAAGTTCATTTTTTTTTTGAAAAACAAGGAGATTGTAGCTCTGTTGTAAATTATAAAATTCTGTGGGATCTGTGTATAAATTGCAACAAATGAATGGAGGAAGAAAAGAACTTCCGAAACCAGCCTTGTTTAAACTGATTAATGATGATACTGATAATGGTGTTGACTCTGTGTGTTTTAGAATGTGAAGAAGGGTAGGTTGATGAGGAAAGCCATGAACATTGGAAGATCCGAAGATGATGGTGGAATTTTGAAAGTGGGGAAAGATGGGAAAATGCAGAGAACGTTGTATTGGATTCGGTTCAATCGGGCACTGAACCGAAAACCCGATTGATTAATCGGTCGGTTCTGTTCGGTGCATTAAAATTTTCGATTTGGTTTCGGTCGGGTTTCGTGGAGGAAAAAATTCGATTAAGCTGAACCGAACTTCACCCGAACCTATTGAATTAGCAATCCTAAATATAATAAGATATTCAATGATGATAAATATCATAATAAGATATTTATTTATTTTCTATTTACTAGTTACCATTATTATAGATGTTCTAATGCGAAAGATTTTTGAAATTAACAATTTTTTTGATAATACAATAATTTAATTTTATTTACAAAACAAGTGAACTAATCATCTTAATCTTGTATAGAATTAAATTTGTTATGATAAACAAAAAAAATTGTTAATTTGAAAATTCTTCCACTCATCTTAATCTTGTAAAATTAAATTTGTTATGATAAACAAATAACAGATAATTAAATTCATTATATTTATGACATCATTAGTTCATTGTATGTAATTGCATTCATAAAAGGTAAATATAATTATGACGTCATTATTTCATTGTAATTGTATTTTCATTCAGTTTGAGGTATGATCACCAGAGCTGTGATATAAACACTTGAAGAGCAAACCACCCGACCCGTCAACACGTCTTCGCCACCATCTTTAACGGTTTTCCCCACCATCGCATCCCGGCAACTGCCACCGCCGCCGCCGGCATGGCAGAATTTCTCGAGTTAGAAGCCCAAGATGCTGTACGGATGCCATGGAACGTTTTGCCAGGGACCAAAGCCGAATCCGCACAGTGTATTATCCCGATCTCCGCCATTTATACGCCCTTGAAACCCCTCCCGCCGTCCACCCCAGTTGTGCCGTACACCCCACTGCGGTGCCGGAATTGCCGATCAGTGTTGAATCCCTTTTCCATTGTGGATTTCTCCACCCTCACTAGTAAGCTATGGATCTGCTGCTTTTGTCTTCAGAGGAACCACTTCCCGGCGGAATACCAGGGTATCTCCGAGTCCAATTTGCCGGCGGAGCTTTTCCCAAGCTACACTACTATTGAGTATGAGGATCAAAATATAACTGCCGGGTCTTCCGTTACTGGTCCTATATTTTTCTTCGTCATTGATACTTGCATTATCGAGGAGGAGATGGGGTACTTGAAATCATCTTTATTACAGGCACGTACCAATTGCTTTTCCTTTTTTTTTGTTTTTGATTTTTTGTTGTTCTTGTCAAAGAGTATGCATTCAGAACCGGGTTCCTGGAATTTATTATTTCCGGGACGGGGGCTATGGGTGTGTGTGTTGGGTGGGTGGACTTCTGGGATTGCCTCTTCCTTTATGTATCAGTTGATAAAACATCCTATCTCTTGTATAGAATGCAGTCTTTTGAGATTCAGAAGCTTCAAGTTTATCCATGCTGGTCTATTTCTGTTCTAGAACTTTTTTTAGCCACAGTTGTTTGATATGTTATGTTAGTATGCTTGGTAGAACTGAAGTGTTATTGTAGTATGGGTTAGAGTCAATTTAAGTTGAACGTTACAAATATAGTTGGTCTTGATGAATAAATATTGTAGAGGCACATTAGAATTTATAATTTAGGACCCTAAATTTATCGAGAACTGAGAAATAGATTAGCGGAAGTGTTTGAAGGACTGTTGTTGGCTGAGATTGCTCAGACCAGAGAAGGTCTCAAATCCAGTCAGAGGAGAGATGAAAGCTGACCTGTTGATAGTTCCTTTGTATTGATAACAACAACTAGTGTGACACATCTTAATCTGTTATGTACGTTCAGAAAGCATGCATAAATTACGAAGACTCTTAATCAACGTGTGTATGATGAAAAAAACCTTTGTAAAGAGAGAAAAGGATAGTATTCGGTACAAGGCATGCTAGCTCAAGGGAGTCTCCGTATCATAAATTAGAACTTTGGTTAAAAGGTAACACCATTATGATGCTTCAGATTTGATTTGAAAAACTTGGATGCTGCGCAATAGGCATGGTCATGATATTGAAGTGCAGCAAAGCGTTTTAGGAGTTAGATTGTCTCAAACTGTTAGAGGATATGTTAGTATGTGTTGAGATACTTCACAGCAGTATTGGAAGGTGAGCTGTGACAATTTATATGATAGGTACATTTTGAAGCCTCTATTAAAATGTTCAGGAAAAAAAAGGATTCTTGATATTCAGGAATGAATGTTAAAAATGTGAATGATATGCGGGAAGTCTCCGACATTATCCTCATTGAAAATCATTAGAGTTCACTAATTTTGGAGAAGAAATGTGGTTCTTGGCTCTGTGTGTGCTTGTGAGAATACTTTTGCCTTTCTGGACTCTTATGTAAACTTATGGTCTTACTGTTATCAAAAGGAAGTTCTTTCTAGCTTTTATATATACTTTACGGAGAACATAATATTGTTCTGGTTGCTGGCAAGTATTATATAATCTTTACGGAGAACATAATATTGTTCTGGTTGCTGGCAAGTATCTGGGTAATCTGAGCTGATGTCTGGGGAAAATGGAGTCCATTTTAATAAACTCAAGTAAAGTCTAGTTTGCAGATCAGACTAAAGTGAGGTGATGCTGAATGTGGAGTTTGATCCTGGTCTTGATTCAGAATAAAGTAGATTGTTTTAGCAGCCATATTATACTCTCGTTTAGAGACGTTGCAATGTATGGAATATCAATGCAATGTAGGGCATGTAGATGAAGATAATTTTTTTATTTTTTGTTTTTATATATTTTTTTATAAAGTTTTGCAAGGCTGAACAAAATTAAAAAGGTAATAAAACGTATATATGAAGGAGTTTTTGTGGTAGTCCCATGTAAGGGAGTTTGAAAGGCCTTTGATTTACATTAAATGGTGCTATGTTTTGTAGTTAAATGTTTCCATTAGGTTATCTAGTGTAAATTACTTGTTGCAGACTTTTGATGTGCGAGTGAATATATAGTAAATATTTTACAAAGTTCTGATTAACTTTTAGATGTCTTGAATCCATCCTCTTTCCCTTTCTTCTCAAATGAGTGGACAGATGCAAAAAATGTTTTTGGGGGGGATTTACTTTAAGACTGGTCATTGATGACTAAGGTTTTAGTTTTTACTGTTAATGTTATCCTCGTAATTAACAGAGAACTTTTTTGACACTCTTTTATCTCCAATTCTTGTCAAAGAATGTAACTCCGTTTTTCTGCCTAACTACTTACAAGGAAAATGTTTGATGTGCAGGTAGTGGGAATGATGCCTGAAAATTGTCTTATTGGTTTGATCACATTCGGTACGTATGTTCATGTTCATGAGGTAGGATCTGGCCAGATTCCGAAGGTCTATGTTTTCAAGGGATCAAAAGAGGTATCAAAGGAGAATGTTTTGGAGAGTCTAGGTTTATTGGGTGGTAAGCCAAAGCCAGGAAGTGGAGTTATCGCCGGTCCAAGAGATGGCCTGTCCCCTGAGAGTATTGCTCGTTTCTTGTTGCCTGCTTCAGAATGTGAATTTGCGTTCAACTCGGTATGTTAATATTTGTGGTTGCAAGTACTATATGCACAGAAGAATTGAAGTTGTTTCAGTTTATTATGTGCCACGTGCTGCAATTTTGAGCAATCTGTGTGTTTCTGATAATGCTTTTTCATCCATAAAGTGATACGTAGTGATCAGAATATACATGGTTTGGAGCATTTCTGGAATAGGGTAAAAAATAATCCGCTTAGAACTTTTCCTAAGATACTTTTGCATTTTTTAGGTTCCACTGAATCTCGATTTTTCAGAGGCTTTATCATAAATGTTCACTTGTCATGTTTATTCATGAAATAATTGCAGTTCCTCCCTCTGATGTATTAAATGGTATTGGATAGATATTGGAAGAGCTTCAGAAAGATCCTTGGCAAGTTCCAGCAGATCGAAGGGCGGCCAGATGCACTGGTACTGCATTAAGTGTGGCTGCTCATTTGATGGGATTATGTGTTCCCGGCTCTGGTGCCAGAATTATGGCATTTTTAGGTGGCCCACCCACAGAAGGGCCAGGCTCTGTAAGTAATTTTACAGAAATGTTGGACGCGATGTTTTACGCCTGAAATTGTTTCGAACTATTTTATTCTTCAAAATAAGATTTTCCTGGATGTGTTTCTCTATTTTTTTTCTTTTTCGCGATCCTTTTCTTGGGGAATCTGTTTTCTCTGTTATTCTCCTCATTAGTTGTGGCTGTTAATTTAATAATTTAGACCGGTAGTGTGCTAACTATATGGTGTAAGACACATACATGATATGAAGAATCTTTTGCTTGTCTAATTTCTTCTTATGACTTTTGGTTGGTAGTTATAGTTTGCTGAGGAATTGTTTTGTAATTTTGCAGATTGTGTCTATGGATTTGTCTGAGCCTGTACGTTCCCATAAAGACCTGGACAAAGATAATGCACCATTTTATCATAAAGCGGTGAAATTCTATGAAGGAATATCTAAACAACTTGTTCATCAGGGGCATGTACTTGATGTTTTTGCTTCTGCACTTGACCAGGTATAAGAATCTGCTTTTTGGTATAATACATTTTTATATTTGGTTGATCACTGACAAGGTTTTGGTTTGGTTATACAATAGTCTGGTGAAGGATGCTATTAACTTTTGAAGTATATTTCTTTTAGGCCCGTGATATTTTAGCTGTCTTGTTTTGTCAAAGTACTGGCACTCCTAATTTTATGGTTCTTAAGACTAAAGAGTAATTGTTTGTCAGAAGGATAGTCCTGATTAAATGTGGCTATAGCTACGAAATCTGGCTTGCTCCTTAGGAGTCTGTTATACAATTTGTGTATTGTATGACATTGCATGAGTTGCATAGTTGTAGTAGTTTACCAAAAAGATATCTTATGTCAATTAGTGTTATTGGAGCTCATACATGTAACAGTAATCAGTAACTCTGTGCTCTTGTTTCGCTTCATCCCTTTGAATTTAGTTGCACCGTTTTAGACTTCTAGTTGATGTTTCCTTTTTGCTGTAGTAATTATCCTTGAAAGCACAATGGAGCATGAGAAAAAATGGTCTGGAAAATAAACATAAAGAAGTGACACCATAGTAGAAAGAAAAGGAAGTATGTATCAAATCCCATTTAGGGTTGGTTGGGGTTCATGGGTAGTTTAGAAAAGGCTGTTGGGATTTTCCAACTAATAATGTAAGAAACTCATAACCCTAAAACTGGAAGGAAGGAATTTTCTCTTCCAGGTATTGCTTGTTTCCCAGAAATAATTCATGTTGTTTTCCTTGTTCATATGCATCTATAATGAACCAAATGAATGTATCTATCCTATCAATTCACCATACTGACAAGAGTTAGTTTGTTCCCATAAATGCAGAACTGTTTCTGTTTCCCTTTTCCGTTTTTTGAATTAGCTTTCTTTGGCCCAGATAATGGAGATATAAGTTGTATCAGAAATTCATAATTGTAAAACTTTTCGCTAAAATATAAAAGGAATCCATGGTAAAAATTCATTCATTTGGCAAAATACTGCTGACGCAGTTTACTATAGCAAAGCAACAATTTTTACAAAACTCCTTTGATTTTTCCCTTCTGCGAAATAATTCTAATATTGGGTAAAACTTTAGAAAAATAATGCTGAGACTTATCCCATTTCATACTTTTGATTGATACTTGGGGTGTCTAAGGTTAATAAATTTGATTATTTGCCCTTTGGCAAGTAGGAAACTTTTTGTTTTTGAAGTATCATTAATGCATCCTGAAATAGTTCACCAGCTTCCTTTTGCTTTTGAAATTTTTTTTTTTTGTTTTTCTTTTTTTTTCCTTTTGAATTATGATGCTTTTTGTTAAGCAATACAAGCCTTTTTTGATTTTTTTAGCCTTAAAAGAAAAGAAAATCATGAAGGAGGGCAATAAACTTTTAAATTCCTATGAATGGATTTGTAAGAGTGTTGCATTTTGGGACGATGTACTATCTTTGTGTATGGGAATTTACCTTGTTATCCTCTCTAAAGAATTTACTCTTCTTGAACACTAGAATGTGCCCTTTGTATGTGTTTGAAAAGTTTAATTCATCTTTTCTTATTTCAATCCTATTAGGCTCATACAGGAATTTCCTCTTTTTCCTGAATGTCATTATGTACTTTCAGCTGGTCTAGAGTTTTAATGTTAATGTTTGGAAGATGATGAATGAATTTTCTCTAGGTTGGGATTGCTGAACTGAAAGTAGCAGTAGAGAAAACTGGAGGATTTGTCATTCTCGCTGAAAGTTTTGGCCACTCAGTTTTCAGGGATTCGTTGAAACGTGTTTTTCAGTCTGGGGATCATGATCTTGGATTATCTTCAAAGTAAGTTTGATTTGGTTGCAAATTTGTTGTTTGTCTTGAATTATATATCAGTAATATAGTCAAGATGATCAAGCCACTGGCCAACAATTCTATATTCGTCTACCTTGTGTTCGTTTGTGTCTTCTTCTCATTTATCTGTGTGCATGAGTATTTTCTTCTTCCTTCAAAAATATTGTATTTTGTTACTTAAGATGTTTAGCTACATACTACAGTTTCATACCATCTCCATCTACTGCTGCCTGCTGGTTCCATATTCTTTCATTGTTCTAGTAACCTCTTAGCTTATAGCTTGAGATGACATTATATGGTTTCACATGAATAGAGACTCAATTTCTAAGGTTCTTCCTGAAACGAATAGAAGTGGTATCTAACCATTTTCTTTCCCCCCTGAAGGTGACAAACATGTTGTAATCTATAAAATTATGTGCCCAATCATTAGGGAATAGTTGATGGAAAAATTTGTTACCGCTTGAGAGCCATCTGACTGTTACATAATCGATTAAGATCTACATTCTTGTACAAAATGTGGTTATGCATTGCAATGGCTTATTTACTTTTTGATTTGTGTAATTTTTTGGCACTTGAAACATTGTGGTGTTGTTAAATAAAGTTATGAATGGTTTTCACTTTCTTGAGCACTTAGAAGAAGTAAATATTAATCTTAAATCCACTTCAGCGTTCTTTTTAATTTGGGGAAGACATTATAGAAGTTGAAACCATGGCTTTGCTGCGTGGTATAACTTAAACTTGATGTTCATTTCTTCTATTGTAGTTAGTAGAAAACAAAATAAACAAAATTTACATGTACTTTTTGCCGCTTCCTGCACACACACACACACACACACACACACACACATAAACACATACATACATGTGTACATTCATGCTGACAGACGTATATGGTTATACGTCAAAGAAGTAGCAGACTAACCAATTGACTACACACACACACATACATACGCTTCCTGCACACACACACACACACACACACGCACACACATAAACACATACATACATGGGTACATACACGCTGACAGACGTATATGGTTATAGGTCAAAGAAGTAGCGCACTAACCAATTGACTACTTATGTGACCTGAAAATAGACAACCAAAGTTGCATTTTGTTAATTGCTGTGCTCTCTGTTCATCATCATTTGTATTTTATAGTATTTAGCATGGAACAAGGGGAGATATCTAATAGTTCTGTTGCCATTCAACAGTGGAATATTTGAGGTTAACTGCTCGAAGGATATCAAAATTCAGGGGATTCTTGGTCCTTGTGCATCACTTGATAAGGTAGAAGCCTGAATTTCCTCTTCACCTACAAATATGTGCATATTCATTTATTGTTTAAATGTGCAGAAAGGGCCTTCGATCTCAGAAAATCCTATTGGTCAAGGGAATACCACAGCTTGGAAGATGTGTGGCCTTGATAGAACCACATCATTATGCTTACTACTTGAAGTTGTAAAGAAGGAGAGCCCAGATGCTATTGCTCAATCAGCAAACAACCTGTTTTACTTCCAATTTTTAACCTAGTATGTATCAGTTAAATTTCTGGTAGAGCATTTTCTCCCAGCTTTCTTTCACTATGAAATTTGTGGACCTAAAAGAGATACTGTTTTGCAGTTATCAGCACAGTAGCGGAAAAATGAGACTTCGTGCAACTACGTTTTCCAGAAGATGGGTTGCTGGTCCTGGAAGCATACAGGTGAACATCTAAATTTTTAGCAAATTTTTACTGCGAGTTTTTTTTTATTCACCGGGACAACCATGAAGCCTTGTAAGTGATGTTTGCTCAGCTGCTCTTTGTCTCATATCACGCTAACAGCTGCTCCTCTACAAAACTTCCTTTGAATAAATGCTACTTTTCATTCCCCTTTGCCACTTGGGTTAAGGCTTATCCTTTTCTGGTTTTTTCCCCTTCTTTCTTATCATTTCTTACCTGGTAACTAAAGACCTATGCCTTGATCACTTTGACTGTGTTTCTCTCATTTTCTTAACTACTGAAGTTAGCATCACTTTCTTTCTAATGCATCAAGGTTGCTCTGTTTCTAGTGGCTATGAAAGCCCACTGAGGCCCTGTCATGCAATTGTAAAGTTTAGGAAACTAAGGACGTTGAATTGAGCAACAAATTGTACAAATATGTATAGAATGGCAGAAAAATGAGTGAGAAATAAATTTCTGAAGGTAGACAGGCACTTCTACCTGTTTTTCACTTACTCGAACTTAGGTATATTCCATGAAATTGTTGTTTAAAAAGCATATCAGCATTCTGGCACATTATGACATTCACACTGTGAAGACTTCCATTAAAAAGGTGATGATATCTTTGAAATTCCTAATTTCCTATGCTGAGCTCAAAGGCGCTTGTTCTGTAAAAAGTTGAAAGATGATTTCCCTTTTGTTATGTTTTTCTGCTTGGCGAATGGAGTTAGGTAGGGTAGTGTGTGGTCTTTGTATCCAGATAAACAGTCTCATTTTGAAATTTGGTAAATAAAATGCATTTTTCTAGTCAACCATAAGTAATCCTCGTAGATCTAACCCTGGAAAGAGTTAAAATCAATATGAAAGTGAAGTCTGATGTCTGATTTCTTATATTAATTTTAGAACGAACTTGGATTCCACAGTTAATGTATAGCATTTCACACTTCAATTAGTTCACACTTACAATTAGTTGAAGCAGGTAATTAAAATACAGGCTACTTTTTCGAGTCCGCCGGACATCGGAATGATTGTGTGAGCTTGTCTCATTATTTTTCCTGGGCTTATCCCATTAAGGTGGGTTTTGTTCCTCCAGGTTGCCTACTTCTCTGGGCTTAATTAAGAGCCACAGGATAATTTTAAAAAATGACGGGGATGGAACATGGAATGGAATGTAAATGGACAGTTATGATATCGTTGAATTGTGGTCATTTGTCGCTTGTTGCTTCTGATTTTAAATCTTTGTAGAGACATAATTTTCAGCCCACCTGTGAACACTCTGGATTGTAACATGCATCTGAAACACTCTGGATTGTAACATGCATCTGAAACTCATGTGTATCTAATATGTAGGAACTGGTGGCTGGATTTGACCAAGAAGCTGCAGCTGTTGTCATGGCACGCCAAGTTTCTTTCAAAATGGAAACTGAGGTGCGTTTGGTTTTTAACTTCTCAATGGTGCCTGCTATATGGTACCGAAGATATTTTACCCTTGGCCTTCATCTGCTATTTACCAGTCCTTTAGTTCCCAGAATTTTGTTTCCCTACAACTGGGGCTGTTAAGCATACGTTGGACCATTCTTGTACTCTGGTTGGCTTTCCTACTGAGAAACACATGTTTTTATAGTCGTCCCGTGACTCAGGTTGCCGCCGGGTAACAAAAATTTTCAATTTGGAAAATTATGGAAGCATTTTTCGCTTCAATATTTGGTTTTTGCCAGCTGTTTCAGTTTCGTTAACTTCAAGGAGTTCCTTTTGGTAAATGTATGGGATGGTTTTACACCAAAAACAACGTACTGTCTTTAAAAGATTCATATTTTCCCCCTGTCAGCCGGAGATTTGCTCATGAAATCATGATTCTTCATTGTCTTCTTGATTTCAGCTCCTTGATTCTGAACTATTATTTGCTACTCAATTAATTAAAAGTAGCAAAAAAGATTTCAAACATTTTCTTGTCCAAACATAAAGCATGTGGTCCATAAAACACCTGGTGAAATGGAAGAGAACCAATTTTTTGTTTTCTTTTTTCCATGTATTATACCTTACCATCTGTATTTCAAAACTGGAGATTTACTTTCAGATGGAGGGCATCGATTAAGACTCTGGTTTGTGAAAATTGTTAATCTTGACTGTTTCTTTACTTTACTTGAGATAATCGGGAACAAAGAGTAAACATAATCTGTTATTGTATCTGAAACACTTCATTGAACATTGATGAAACCCCTGGCCTGGCGGAATCGACGAATCTATTTCATTGCAGGGTTCAGTGTGGCTTGGTGGGGTTCTTTTATACTTTGGGTTGTTTTTATCACTGCCATAGTGTAATATTTTAAATTATTGTTATTGGAGGGAGTGAATGTATGCTGTTGGCTTGTATGCTGCCTAAATTTTTGGTGACAGTGTGTTGATTTCCTATGTTTCATTTTCATTTTGGCCCTTGTAATTCTTTGTTACTGATTTGAAGTTAATTGTTCTGCTTCTGCAGGCTGAATTTGACCCCATTAGGTGGTTGGACAAATCTCTGATTCACATATGTTCTCGATTCGGTGACTATCAAAAGGAAAATCCATCTTCTTTCTGCTTATCTCCTAGATTTTCAATATTTCCTCAGTTCCTGTTTAACTTGCGGCGCTCTCAGTTTGTCCAAGTATGTTCTGTATATCATTCCACGTTAATCAGGCTCTATTGATTCTGTAGTTAGCTTGGTGGTATGCACCTTTCTAATTGAGTTCCACTTTCATTCTGGATTATGTCTGGAATTCTGGTTTCAGGTTTTCAACAATAGCCCTGATGAAACAGCATATTTCCGAATGATTTTGAACAGGGAAAATGTGGCAAATTCAGTGGTTATGATCCAGCCATCCTTGATCTCTTACTCTTTTAATTCTCCTCCGGAACCAGTTCTACTTGATGTTGCTGCTATTGCTAGTGACAGAATTCTTCTTTTGGACTCTTATTTTACGATTGTTGTATTTCATGGGGCAACCATTGCTCAATGGCGAAAAGCTAGATACCACGAACAGCCTGAACATATGGTAAAGTTGTTTGTACGCTTTTTATCATTTTCCTTTTCCAATAACTGGAACTAAAGTTGTTTGGCATGTGCCTTTTCATTACCTTGGATAGTGAAAGGGAATATGAGAACTTAAAATAGTTAAGATTTCTCTATATATTAGGTTGAAATGGTCAGGTGTTTAGGTTTTTGCCCCTGGTTAGGCTAGTTCATAGGCAGTCATTGTTTCATGGTAACAAAATGTCTGTGCCTGTGAACATTGTGGTTGAGTAAAATATACAGTTCTCTTAGTTAACCAAGAATAATGTTATAACAAATGAACAGCTGTGACTGTTCCATCTCAAAGCAACTTTGCTTCATGTTTCTGAGAACTACCTGTCAGCTTTGTTGACTTTTGTAATTTGGCCTCTTTATTCTTCAATGAATACTTTTATATCTCAACAAGCTCCATGTATTTTGGGTTACGTATCACTTAACCTCCATATAATTGAGTCTGGCACAACACTATGTTTTATACTAATTTTTGTTGATTATTTATACAGTCTTTTAATTGCAACTACAAAGTTGCGTTTACCATATTAAACAACTTCGTAAAATGTTTGTGAAGCTGTAAAGTGAGACTAATAGAATGTTTTGCTTGCTACTCTTTGGGACATAGTCTGATGGCTAACTTGTGCCTTGCCACCTAGGGGAAGGAAGAGTAACAGATAACTTCTTATTGTGCAGTCGTAATATGACATCCAGGCTTAATCAGACGGTCTCATATAGTGTTTTAGATCCAAATTTAGAGCGGTTTTGGCTAGGCATGTGTCTTTTGACTATCTCTATTGTTCCTAACGTAATACTGCTTGGAGATTTGGGACATATTGAAATCTGGAATTTAGAGAGATCTGAAGCTGATAACCAACTGTTTGCAGGCATTTGCTCAGTTGCTACAATCTCCTCTTGATGATTCAGAATCAATTATCAGGGAAAGGTTTCCAGTACCTCGTCTTGTCGTCTGTGATCAACATGGCTCCCAGGTTAGTTAGCTGTTACCTTGTGCAGATCAAGATTTATTCTTATTTTTTTCTTTTGAAACTGGGAATCAAAAGTTGTACCCGAGACCAAATTAGAATTTCTTATTTGTAATTTGGGTCTTTTTCTTTTGGATGTGTGTTAAAGAACAACTAAGTATGTAACGATTGAGTATGTTAACTCTTGAATGAGTAATTAGGAAAATGACCAAACAATTGCAAAGTCCTGTTTCAGAAGAAGCTTTTATCATCATCAATTTATTGAATCACCTAGCAAATTGCCAACCACTGTAGTCATTTAGTATAGTTTATTAGTTTGATGTCTGTATATCAGTTATACTCTGGATGGGCCTTTCTTTATTGTGCACCTTGTGATTTGTTGCCCGAATTTTTTACTTTTTATTTCTTTTCTTTTGGTGTGTTTTCATGAGATAGCAGTTCAAATATTCTGAATTTTATCTCACACTTATTGTGAAAGTATTATTCATAGAAAACGTACCAACCTGCTGCTTGCACATTAGGTGAAAAATGCACTTTTTTCAGTCTATGTTTCTTCCTTGTTTGTGTCTTCTTATTATTTTTCGAAACAATTATAAGAGAGATAAGTTAAGCTATGTGGAATGTGATAAATGTTGGAGCAACTTTTCCATTAACAACAATTCTTTCCGGTAAACTCAGTAATCTACTCTTGTTCTCAGGCACGTTTTTTGCTGGCAAAGCTTAACCCTTCGGCAACACACACTTCTGATACTATTCGTGGAGATGTCATATTCACCGATGATGTCAGTTTTGAAGTTTTCTTGGATCATCTTCAGCGGTTGGCTGTGCAATAGATTTCTTCTTGCCTTGTTCCAGAGGTTAGCAATTAGGTGTTATACCACAAATTTTGTAGACCTTTCATCTGGATTATTTGTACAGCAAGGGAGAGCCAAGTTTTCGATTAAGTCCAATGAACTTTGAGATTTCTACGGATAGCTTTTAATGCTCATTGTGATCTTAATAATTGTGAGTTCTATTCCATTATGGGTGTTGGATTTACTACAAAAGTATGTCTTTCTGTTCTAAAGTAACAATTATTAAGATTTCTTATTTCTCTGAGTAGATTTCTCCAGATCCACTGGATTTTATTGTGTTATAGTTCGAGTGTAAAGATTACAGACAAGTATGTTCTAGCTTTTTTTATGTTTTTAATTGCTCAACAAACAGAGCTTTTTTTTTTTTTTTTTTCTTTTTTGTTTTTATTTTTGGTGATAAAGGGAATATTCATGTGGGGTATTTATGCCGTGCCAAATTTCCATGTGAGGCTTTAAACTGGTTGGTTTTGGAAATTGCGGGTCTTGCTCAAATATGTATATTCACCTATTCAGCAATATGCTTGATGTAAATTGGTTGTCATTTTTAATTTTGCATACCTTCAATCTGAACGAACTTACTGTTGGAGGGAGGGAGGGATTGTTGGCTGATGGAAGTTGTCCATTATGGTGTGATGTTGGTGTGATCGTACACATTTTGCAGGAATAAATTAAATGGAAAAGGACTGCTCGTTACACAAGTCTGCATCATCTGAATCTGATGAACTTTGTACATTTATTTATTTGACAATCATGCTGTTGGCTATTTATTGTGAACAAAAACTTGTAAGCTGAACTGATTGTCAACGGCATTGACAAATGTAGTTTGCTAATGAAGTGATTCAACATACAATCATTAGGAAATGTTCTAGGATGTGTGGCTACTTGTTTCCTTGTTCTTAACAACCATACCCTTGTACCAGCTCATGAACTTTGCTATAAATTCTGTGGAATGAAGGGAGGACATGAAGTGTTAGTTTTTCTCTTTCCCAAAAAATAAAAAAGAAAAAAACAAGAAGAAAAATGAGTTTCTCCATAGAAATAATGTTAACCCATTTTAGTTAATTTCAAACATGCTTGTGAACTTTTGCTATTTCCATGATGAATCTGGTGGTGATTTTGTCCAAATTTGAAAATGTGAACTTGTGATTTTTGGATGTAGAGTGGGCAGAGTAAGTTTGATTATTTGAGATACCAAAGAAGGGTGACTGAAGAAAGTGCCATAAAGAAAGATAGCATCTAAGAATCTGCAATTCACCACGCATTCAAAGCCTGCTTTAGACCCGGAAAATCAATATTATTAATCTGAAAACCTCTTAAACTGATACATAAGAATGCGTCCATGGATGTTGGTGTTGTAATAGTCAAACCCATTTAAAGTTCTTAAAAGTAGTGGCTTGAGCTTGCTTCTAATGGTTGTGAACAGATAAAATTAAGGAGCTATTGTCCCTTAAGGAAGCAGACATAATGTTTGTTTCTGTTTCAATTGTAAGATTTTCTTTACCTTCGATCCTCATAAACTGGTGGATGGCCTTTTTAACTGGATCTTGTAGTCTCTTACCCATTTCTTCTTGACGGTGTGCAAAAGGATTCCCTGAATCATCATTTTTCTGCATAAGACAGTAAATACAGTTTATGCTGCGTGTTTTTCCATGGTTTGGGAATTAAACAATATAAATAAGTAATGGATTCACTTGGTTTTTACATTGTATTTCTCATACAAACTGTCAATCTGCTTCCACAGTTGCTCATCCAAATTCTTCTTTAGTTCTTTCACTAAAGTCTGCAGAAAACAAGATATGCTAAATGCTGCTCATTAGAAATCGTTATTAAGGAAAGGACTCCTGAGCTCTTACTTCAAAAATGAACTCAGCTGATACGTTATGCTCTATTAGGTTCTGGAGTTTGCTGCGGATGTTGTATAACCTGGATATTGCATATTTCATTAGTGTAAGACTTTTCAGTTCCTGGTGACATTTGCTTTCAGTTTGTTGGGAAGCCAGTATCCATTAAAGTGATAAAGCCTCTAAAAATCATAGCTCGTGCATGTTTGTGTGATATTGTAAACTTACTGCTTTGGGCTTTGTTCCTCTATCACATCTTTAGCAATGTTTGCCATGTCGTCCTCCCAACCAGTCATGATTTCTTGATCTTCTGCCAGGTTACTGCTGCATATATATTTTTCGGTACAAATTTAGTAAATGGTAGTATGACAGACAAGGTGTTGGGGCTAACTTTTTAATTTTAAAAAATAAGTGTGTGTGTGTGGGCCTGCGCATCTGGGTGTGGTGATGCGCAAGTGTAGTTCTCAGTCTTCATGTCTAGGCAACTATACTTGAAGTGCCAGGTCGCTTCAAATGAGCGTATGGCTTGTCTTAGGTTATGCTTGGAGCTTCTAGCAATCGTGGCAGCCAATTTTTGTGGCAGTTGTATTCCTTCCTTTTCTGCTATGAATCTTAGAACATCAATTATCTGTGGAAAACCAGAATAACATGTCAAGCAAAGATGTAATAGTAAATAATAATTGTTCATTAGATGTCTGTGCTTCGTACTTCTTCATCGGAAGGTGGTAGAAGTTGAACAAGTGTGCAAAGTGAACGTAATGGCTCTATCCTTGAGGCATCACTACAGCAAAAGAAGATCTTATTGCAAGCTTTATACCGTTCTAAAACCCACTTGATATAGAGTAGGGCTTCAGTGGGAAGCTTGTCTGCATCATATAGAATTACAGCTGCATGGTTTCGAAGTTTAACAGAAACACATTAGTGTCTTTGCAGTCTGATATTAGACAATAGCTTTTGGAATAGAGTGGTTAATGTACCTCTACAGTTGTCATGATTGCACAGTGAAGAATCACCTGTTGATTTCTTATGATTCCCACTTTTCTCCTTGATGAGCTCAACAATAACATGTTTCTCATATCCCCTCAATTGTGATATATCGATTTCAACATGTTTTGATGATTGCTTTATTTTTACATTGATGCTGCCTATTGCTTCCCCCTGCAATATATATGATTAGTGAATTCTAGGATTGATGCTGCACTTCCAGCTTACTCTGATTTTCTGTGTTGGCTTTTCTTTCTTCTTATATTGCTGCATTTCCCTTTTAGTATTTACTTTTTACACTTCCAAGGTAGTTATAAAAGGTCTCTTGGCAATTTAGAGATAAGACACCCAAAGTAAGATCAGTATTCCTGAAGATCAGGCTTTTTATTGCAAAGTCAATGGATCTTTGGAAACCTTGCAATGTCTCGTTTTAGAACTGGACAATCATTTTTGGAATGGAGAGATTAATACATTTGGAGATTCTATCTTCAGAGGGCTAAAAAGTCCACCCATGCATGTAAAGAACATAGTAAATTAAGACACAAGGAAGATTAGTGAAATGTGTTCAGGTCAAGGGAAGAGTAGATTGTACCTTCAGAACAAATTTCTTGCTCTCTTCTTGTGCCTGTCCATAAAAGGAAGAACCATGAAGAGATTACACATTCTAACGCATCGTGAACTGTATAATTGAGTTGAACTGATTACTTTTAAGGCCTAATTTTCATCATAAAACATGGTGCATCTTACCTCATCAAAGCAATACCATGTGATCTTCAAGATTTTCAGTTACAAGATAATTATGCTACATTAGGTTCATGAGTCGGATACATGACAGCAGTAGACGTAAAGGAAATTATTTGCAGAAAAGGTGTCATTTTGAATTCGGTTTGGGACTAAGTTAGCAGTAGACATGAATACCAATGTTGTTGTCTAAAGAAATTATTCTTGTGGATAAAATTTTTTTGGGTACCTACCTGTACGTTATCTTCACCAAAAGCTTCACGAAGCAAAGCCCAAATCATGGTTTTCTTGCCAACCCCTGGCAGTCCTTCAAATATGAAATGACCACAATTTTCTGCGTTCGACAGCACCTATAGAAGTTCAATATTTTAGAAGGTCAATATTTTAGAAGGTCAATATTTTATCAATAAATAACAGTGTTCTCCAGTTTGCAATTGAGGAAAGGATAACTAATATGAGGAAGGAAGGGGAGCAAACATGTGTCAGGATGTCTCACCATTGCTTGTAGTTCTAATGCTTTATTTCGATTGCATAGAAAGTCCTTTAAGGCATACGGTCGATACTTGTCAGCCCATGTGTATTTTCTCTCTTTCTTTGGTGTGTTTACCTCTGTATCAGATTCAACCTTTTCAGAAGTTGAAGCTTGACTCGGGGATATGGGTATGTCTTTTGATGCTTTTGGAGGTTGTGATGGTGGCACTATTTGAACTTGTTGGACTGTAGTGGCTGCCTTAATTAGTGTATGAATGTGTATCGGTCTGTGCTGCTGCGGCATCCGTGGCCCTGGATGAGGTGGTGTCGGTGGTGGTGATGGTGGCTGGAACACTCTCTCCCTCAATGGCTTCTTTCTGTTCGAAGTGGCAATGGTTATTTCTTCCATGTCTGTGTTGAGCTCCTTTGCATTTTTAGAAGCCCTTTGTCTTGCTAGTGTTTCATCTGCTGCTTTTCTTCTCAATGAAGATGATGATGCTGGTAAAGACGAAGTAAAGACATGAAATTCCTGGGAACTTTTAGTTTTTGGTGAACTGGATATGGCGATTTTCTCGTCTCTGTCTTTGGAGAGAAAGCAAGAACTGCTCCATTCCTGGACTTTATAAACGAAACTTGTTTTTGTGCTTGAACTGAAGAGACTTCCTGTATGGCTCTCTCCATCATGAAATGGAGATGAAGGCCTTTGTCGATTGAGCGCAAGGGATTGATCAGTCAGCCCTTTGTAATAAGGACTACTAAAATACCTCTCATTTTGCCTGTTAAACTCCTGCAGACTCGCTTCTGTTAAGGCTGTTAAGGCTGTTTTCTTTGAAGCAGCTGATGAGCTGGTCTTTCGTGTTATGAAAGCACTAACTTTATGATGCCAAGTCCTGGGCGAGTTTTCTGACTTGGAAGTCCGGCGAGAAAGTACATCGGAGTGAGATGGAGACAGGGGAGCCCCTGAGATCTTAGGGACAGATTTAGAACGCGGGATCGATGGACTTGGCATCGATTTTTCACTCGGAAAAATAGTTATCCAGTCGCAGAAGTGTTGTGGGTGTTAAGATTTGGAATTGTTGGAAGTATGCAAAGTTTTGATAGTGTTAAAATTTGGAATTGTTTATTTTGAATGAAGTTCTGTTTACAGTTGGATGGTTGGCGGAATCAGCGAGGGGAAAAAACCTGACGTTAATAACAACAATTTGGGTAAAATATGATGCACACCCAATAGTCAACATGATCAAGTTTGGAAAAACCAATGCTCCATGAAAGGTAGTTTTGGAGTTTTGACACCCATTGAAGCCAAAAATGCAGTAAAATTTGAGGGCTCTAGGTTAATCTAACACTTCAAACCATGCCTCAAAGGGAAACATCATATCACAGATTCTAAAAAATGCTTTGGCCAGAAAACGAGCTCGAAGAACATTCTGGGTTTGTCTTTAAACAACCTTTTTTTTCCCCTAACTACCAAAAGATTTTGCATGTTCTATTTTGTATGGTCCATTGTGTGATTGAGAGAATTTGAGGAAAACACAAGCCTTTTGGCATTATTGGGAATTTAATCCAGAAGCAGTTCTAGTTACGACTTCGAGATGCCTCTGTTTGAGTTTAGTTGCTTAACCAAACTATATGTATGAACAGAATATAAATCCCTAGTACCAGTCACACTTGAAAATCGAGGAATGGGATGTTTTTGGACTCTGTGAGTGGTCATGTGCATTAATTTAGTAATTGCCTTCGTTTATATATATATATATATATATATATATATATATATATATATAGTACCTGTGTATATTTATCTATTGACATTGCTGGTTTACATACATCTCAAAACAAAAATCTACTTTATTGTAGTACTTTTACGATTTAGTTTTCAGAGTGAAGAGAGAACGACCGTCAAATTTGGGCAAAATTTTCTTGCTTACACTGTTATTCTAAGGTTGTTTTTTTTTTTTTTTCATACTGCGCATGATGTCCCAAGTGCATTGCACGCAGACTAATCCGTACCGAGCCGGGTTGGTCTTATTTCGGAGGAAAAGCTCTCCTAATATTACTCTTTCCATTCACAAAACTCGAACATGAGACCTCGCTTAAGAGAAACAAAGCACCTTACCACTTTGGCCAAACAAGTATTGGTTATCCTAAAGTTAAAACCCTTCAAACATCAGTTCTCGAATTTGCTTTCCCTTAAAAAGGCCCAATTTGATTAAGGAAAGTATGGATTTAGCCCATCAAATACACAAAGTACCTTCAGCAGTGTTAGTATTTTTAACCTGAACAAGGAACTATAATGGTAAGCTCGTTATTATATCTATAAATTTATCAAATAATCTACTTACTAGTTAAAAAATATTGGAGTTAAACACATATTATAATTATTCTTTTCTTTGGTTTTAAATTATCGGTCTTACCACTTCACTTCCATCCTTTTCTCTATTATTATAAAACTGAATTTCGCTATAAATGAGATGCAATAATCCGATTTCATAAACTATTGACAAGTGGCCCTCAGTTCAAGTTCATAATGAAACTTGTATTAAGTTACACGAAAAGAGAAATTATAAGTGAAGATCTATCAGAGTGGATATACATAGGATCATTATTTTTTATTGTTGCGCAATAAAAAGATTATTATTTTAAAACTCTTAGAAAGAATTTGATGATAATGGAATTAACGGATCGACCGGCTACCTTTCCTTGACCAGCAAGGAATAATTAGATGCTACCAAAGACCAAATCCATGCAAAAACTTTCAGGTCGGAACGGAATCATGGCCTAGCTGAAGAGGAAAGAATAGTTTTCCCAAAACAAAGACGTACGGAGAAACCAAAACACGACTAACGGTTGCGATTTGCATCTACTATAACGAATCTTTGGAATCATGAAGACAGTAACTTTCTACAGCGATTGACATAATACTACTGTACAGAAACGTAATAAGTTTTCACTTAAAAAATACCAAAAAAAAAAAAAATGTCACATCTGACAACGAACAAACATTTCAACATTATCCTTCACATCTCTAATGTAATTTAACCAATCAGTTCTTAATTAATTGATTAAAATAAACTTTTATCCACTTACTCATTAAAAACGTTTCCAACAATGAAACAGCAAATGTAATAATGAAATCAAAATAATCAATTGCAACAATTTTAATTACCATTACGTAAAACTCCATCCAAGAAAATTAACGCAACATTTTTTTTTCCCCACACCCTAAACATCAGCCTTGATGGATTCACTGTATCCAGTTTGATCATCATAGAATTTAGACCAAAGCATAACACCTCCATACTTTGGAAAATCTGAAATAGCCGGAAGCACTTGGGAAACAAGCTCATCAGCCGGAATAAACCCCCCGCTCGGGGCGGCATCAGGAGCCGCCGGCAAACCAAGGAAAATATTCCCAGCCGGGATCGAATTCCACTGCTTCCAAGCCTCCACAAGGTTGCCGGAATCCCCACCAGAAGAATACTGGCACGGCGGATTGTTATAGAATTGTACCCAAACAATGTCAAAAACGCCCGTCTCAAGCGCTTCCCCGAGCCATTCATCGGGGAATGGACACTGAGGCGCGGCGGTTAAGTAAAACTTCTTGTCACCGAGCTTGCTAATAAATCGCGAAAGCCGTTTGGCGAGAACGTCCCAATGTTGGGACGTTCCGCCTTCAATATCGAAATCAATTCCATCCAGAACAGCTTGGCCTAATGGTCGGGAATCCGACTTTCCACCTAAGAAGTTATTCCAAAGGTTGGAAGCGAATTCTTTGGCATCTTGGTCGGAGGAAAGGAAGTATCCATCAGTTTCTCCTCCTCCTATGGAGAGAATGACTTTGATTCCTTTTGCCTGACAGGATTCGATCTCCGGACCTAATTTCGCGCATCCATTTTCGACCGATGGATCGCAGTAGCCCGCGAAGTTGAGCTGAGGATCGCGGCCGTTTCCGAAGGAAGAGAGGAATGCTAAGTTGACAAATTCGTATTTCCCAGTGGCGCAGGTGTCGGCTAATGTGCCTTCGTCATTTTGGCCCCAATAGATGGCCGTGCTGCCGCCGCCACCGCCACCGCCACCGGCATTTGATTCCACCGACATTGCGAGTAAAACTAAGGCTACCATTACTGCCGCTGCTACTTTAGAAGCAGCCATTTTAATTCTTTAGTGAGTTTTCAACTAAAGAATTGATAATTTGTTTGATTAATATTGGTGGTGATAATACTTCGGTGAGTGTGCATGTGGTATTTATAGATGAGAATTAGTTCAGTAATATTGACTTTTTCTTTGCATTACTAGTGAATTATTATTCTCTGTCACAAAATAAATAAGACAATTATTTTAAGACGAAAACAATGATTATTTTAAACGTGTTTGGTTTGTTTTTGTACTCGCCTCTTTAATTTGGATGAACAATATATGGTCAAAAGAGAGAAACATTCGCAAAGCTTTCATTCTACTCCAGTTAAAAGTTGCGTCACTGAATAAAAGAATATTTTGATTGAGAATCTAACTACAATTAAGTACAAAGTGTCAAATTGGATGCATGTTTAAGTTAATTGATTTATTTGAAGACGAATGTGTTTGGTACAATTATGTAAGTACCCAGCCAGCCTGCTGTCAAAATTGTCCTAAATACAGTAATTTGATGAATGTCCTTCATCGAAAAAATGTGGCTTGGACACCAATATTTACGATGAACACTTAACAGTATGGAACTCTTGTCACTTCCAAGTTTGGTCGCTTGAAGACTCATTCGTTGTTGGAACTTTTGTTATATTCTCTGTGTCCTGACATGCACATGTTCAATTCATTTCATGCATGTTGATTAAGAATGAAAAGAAAAGGACTTGTTTCCCAAAAAAAAAAAAAAAAAAAGAAAAGGACTTCAGGTGCATTTGTTAGGAATGATCGATTTGAGTAATTCTTTTTCTATGAAAGAAATAAAAAAAATTTTCAAATAAGAGTGATGAAGTTCCATTGATTTTGAAATGAAGAGAATAAATTTTGACAATCTCAAAACCCAGAACGAACTTTTTTTTGGTTTTTTGTTTTGCGAGAAAGGGAATAATACTATTTTTAACATACCTCAAGTCACCACAATTAGTTAATTCAATCCAATGCACAATGATAGACGGAACCCAAATGAAGGTCCTAATTGAGTATATGTAGCCAATGCGAGACAATGTCTCGGCGAAATCAAACCCTTTAATTCACATATTTCATCTTCACAGTCTAATCTCTTGTTAGTAATTTCTTAATTCCACCGTTCACGTACACTTAAATCAAACCCTTCAATCAAATCCCTGTTTCAAATAAATAGTCAATATTAAAATATTTAATTTTATATTAAAAATAATATAATCTCAAAAATATAATGTGAATTATTATTATTTTTTTTTTTGGGATAGCGGGAACATAAGGCAAATGAGTTTTCAATTTAGCAGACCCGGTCAACCCGATCGATGAGCAACATATATATGGCCCATGAAAGACTAAGTCATTCTAAGACCACCAGGAGAAAAACAACTTGACCATGCCTCTACATGTACGTTTCACTTTTTTGTTTTAAAGGAAGATTTTTTTTTTTTTTGTTTCCCGATTCTACATGCAGGCCAACTTAGACACAAACACTGTTGAGTGTCATGTGGCAAGAATTATGAATCTTACATTGGAGGCATGATGACATGTGAATCAGTTAATAAGTAAAGTGGACTCAGAACCCATTATCTTAAACTTTTGAGTTTAGATTGGTCTTATCTTATTTATTGAGCTCCATGTCGAGTTTTCTCCTCCGAATAAATCTCCAACAAACACAGACGCAAGCAACTTCTGAAACCCTTGTGTTATTTAATTTTATGACTCGTACTCTTTTTGTCCCAATTTAACAGTGTAGAATTTGTTGATTTAAACCAGTATAATTACATTATAATAAAAATTGAAGAGATATATATAATTGCTTTCTCCTTTTTTGTTCACATCGGACCTTTAATTAAAGAGATATATAGAGATGAGATAAAAGGAATAATAAAAATCACAACAAACTAAAAGCACTTTACTGTCGTTACTAGCTTCTCTTTTTCTTCTTTCCTTGTCTCTTATATATTCCATTTGTGTGTTGGGGTGGGGTTGTTCAATGACACTTCTGAGATTTTTTTCAATTTGATGAAAAAAAAAAAAAACTGAAAAGAAAAAAAAAAAGATGTACGTAGAATCGTACATCATTTCAGTTTGCAAATGGAAAGAGGCGACTGAACAGATAATGCCTTGTGTTTGAGGTGCCTAACCATAATAGGGAAAGTTTGACCGCTCCATATATATGGTAAATTGAAATTTCAGTTCCTATGCTTTTCAGACGTATTGAATGATATTGATCATGATTTTTTTTTTCTTTTTTTTTTTTAAAGAAATACTTCGATAGTTGGGTTCATGACTAATTTGATGATTGTCGTAGAAATCACTTTATTGCTCTAAGAGTTCCATTTCTTGCTGAAATTAACTCCTATTTTAAGTTTATCGTACCCCAAAAAAAAAAAAAAGAAGAAAAAACTTCACATTATATCATTCTTGCACGCAATTGTCCATTGGATATAATGGATTTACTCTATAAGTATCTTCTTGTATAACTAAATTTTTACAGAAGTTTATATATTTCAAAAAAAATGAAGACAATTATTTGAGAAATTAAATACAGTAAGCCGCATTTGCATTTTTTTAAAAAAAATAATAAAATATATATTGAAAAAGAAAATGCTTATTTTGTTGTTTTGTTGGGAGAAAATTGTTTTGTAAAACCCTAATGTGTTTATTAAGATCAGCAATTAGCAGTTAAATACTGCATATATGATCCAAAATTTTAATGAGGACTGACTAATTTCCAATGAAACAGAAACCAAAAGAAGGGAGGAAAGAATTAAAAGGTGCATAATTAAGGATCAAACTTTCCAAGAGTCTAAACCATGAGAAGTTTCAGTTCATTACATCTAACATTTAAGCTGACAAGTCGATGAAATCATGTTTCTGGCAAATGATCAAAATAAAGTGCTCAAAGCTCCAAGACAGCTAACTATATAATGTCCTCAACTGATCCGTTCTTATGCTAGAAACAACCTCTTCCTGATCATCATCACCTGGAAATGAAAAACCAAAATGACAAAAATAACTCAAAAGTTGAAAAACTTTCTTGCTTGAACATACACCATGAATCAATGGACTTAGCAAGTTATCAAAAAAAATTTAACCTAAGATTCATAATCTAGATACTAATTCAATCTTCAAATTAATACTTTGCACTAGCTGTTTAGGTATTTACATATAGAACCATAACAGATTGGCAAAAAGGAAAGGAAAACTTCATCAATCACAGAAGAAAAAAGTTCTTTACCTAGTAGCTGCTGGTTGGTTGAACAGAAGGGTACTGTTTGTCCACAACCTCAATCAGCTTATTTGCTATAGCATGTGCATACACCGTTGAACCTTCAGTTATCTGCAAAATTTCATTCAAACCTTAATAAGAAGAACAAGAAGCCTAAACAAAAAACTCTTGAAAGATTATGATAAAGGGTTCACCTTGGAGTTGAATAAGAAGCTGAAATAATCACCAATAAGGCCACCGGCAACATGGTGGAGATCCAGCTGAAGGTCATCAAGGACTTTGGAAACAAGGAGGAGGCAGTTGATCCTCTTTTGCTGGACCAGTTTGACAGTGACTTCATCATCAATTATGCGGACATCCACTTCTGTAGTTTTGGACTTCCTGTGGAGCCATGAGCTTCTTATTGCTGAACTGTAAGGCTGTTGATCAAGATCATCCTCAGTCTTCACAGATGCCCCGGTATCCGCACCATCTTCTACCTTCTGCCTTTTCAGCCTGTCTCTGCTGCATCTTTTTTTCTCCACCAGGATTGTCAGTTCTGCCACTGTCCTCTTTAGCTCATTGATATACTCAATTGCATCTCCAACCACTGAAGCTCTGTCATTCTTGATTACATAAGAAGAAAAAAAATATCCCAAATTAATGTCAAATTGACTGAACCCAGATACAGATCTACAATAATAATTGATCAACATGAAGAAAATTGATTTCTTTTTGTATACCTTGGAGGGACTGGGAACCAAACTCCTCAGAGCTTGGTACTTATCATTCAACTGAACTCTCCTTTGCCTTTCTGTGACAAAATGTTTGCTGTCTTTTCCATCTCTTGCTTTACCAATGCATTTCATATCTGCTGTAAACTCAAACACCCCTGTTTCAAAACTCCTCCCATCTCCATCTTGGAATAATCCACCATTAGTCTCTCTGTCATCCATTCCAGTACTGAACAAGGAGGAGCCATTCCTTGGACCTCCCAAGTTGTATCCATGGGGTGGTAAAGAGTGCATCAGTTCCCTCAGCAAAGGTGGCTGTGGTGGAAGATTGACAGGAAGCAAAGGGT